TAGGTATAATTCACTTAATAGGAAGCTAGCTAGCCCTATAGTTCTCGTTCATCACACGCAGATTACAGGTCGAGTTTCTTTTACCGGTGAAGTTAAATAATATCTTCTTAAAAGTATTAATGTAATGAAGGTAAATTATTTGTAATGTTCAAACTTTATAAATGTTCCTGGTCAAATATCTTAAGTTTCCCGATTAATTAATAAGCATTATAACAATCACATTTATAGCTTTCGAAGTTTATAGCACACCAACTATAGCAAACCAATAATATATACTCTCTTTTTTTGGCGCGTGGATAGTTTCTCGAAATTTCAGTTTACGTAACAATACTGACTCTAACACTAGCGTTTACGTACACACATATATTGTTCATTTTTACACTCTAAAATCTTCTACAATTTTGGAGAATAGGAGGGAGTTTCGCAATTCATATTTAATAGTATAAGTTATGTACATTTCTAAATATAAATTCAATTTAAGCAAATATCGATATTAAAACACATATATAATAGTAAATCCGTCAGAAGTGTTGTACAAAATGTCTTGTAAAATATATTCACATCCGCCTTTTGTTTATGTCCGTAGATAGTAAAGTGCCCGCGAATTTTCAGGACAGACAAAAACTAAATATTATTATAACAGAGATGACGAAGAGCTCCACCTGAAATACCAGTCTGTCGTATTAACCCCCAAAGAAAATGTGTTGAATAATTTTTCATTTGCAACTTTTGAGAAGCGGTAAACTTCACTTTCCCGGTCATATACAAAAGTGGGACATATTTACTACACTTTCTGTGTTCAAACAGAATTACAAGAATATGTATAAACTCCAGTACGAATAGAAGTTTGGAATATATTTCTAATATAACTGAAATATATATATATATATATATCAGTAATTTTGAGTTAAAATAAAAGGTTAAAAATCCCATCTCATTAAAGATATAAAGGTATTATTAATATTATCTATGACATAGTTACAGCACCCACAGCGGGCCCGGCATGGCCAGGTGGTTAGGGCGCTCGACTCGCAATCTGAGGGTCGCGGGTTCGAATCCCCGTCCCACCAAACACGTGGGGGCGTTATAATGCAAAAAGAGTGGTGATGACTAGCTGCCTTCACTGCTAAATTAGGGACGGCTAGCACAGATAGCCCTCGTGTAGCTTTGCGCGAAATTCAAAAACAAAAAAGCACCCACAGCGATTGCTATCAAAGTATATTTATTATAGTGTAGTTGTCCACGTGATCGTGTGGGAAGCGCGTGACTACTTTGCAGTAGGCACAGGAGCTCCAAGAGACAGCCTGAGAGAAGACAGCGTAGGAAACGGTAAGGTCCGGAGCGTTATCCTCTGGTATGTCATTGCAATAGTAAACCTACCATCGGCAAGGGCTGGTGCCTTACAAAAGGCGTTAACAGAAGAATACTGTTTTAATCTCCTATTGCAAGCTGCTTTGTATGGGAAAATATTCACTCATAAAGTCGGGATTGACATGATAGTTAGAAGTCTTCTTTCCATATTGTTACGAAATCTTCGTGTACAGATAGAAAAGCTGAACAGGTATCATATTGTTTAAAATCTAATAACAATAGGAATAAAGAAGCGAAAGGATTGTTTAAAAATAATGTATTATTTCTCTCTAACTAAATATTTTAGAATGGTTTAAAAGGTACTTACTTTTATTTTTTAAAGGATTTTTTAATTCTTAATTGTTTCTCTTTGTTCGAATGTTTTTAAACAGAGCACGGGAAAATTAGATATATATATATATATATGCAATGATGAGGAAAATATTTCTTTTTGTTCTAGATAGGTTAAGCACAAATGCTCCCTTAAGGTTATTTTACAATAATATCGCCGCATAATTATGATCAACAAAAGAGTGATTTACAAAAATTTCATTTACATTGATTGTCATGGTATTTAAAGTTCCCAAATCGGTTTTACAGATTTTCTTGTTTTACAGATTTCATTGTACGTTTATAAAGTGTTTTTTTTTTCTTCCGATTCATCAAGATAATGCCAGAAACCTTATCCTTCTATCTGGTTCATAATTTCACTTTGTTCTATTTGTAAAGCGTACGTTTCTCTTTGTAAGTTTTATTTTACGAAGTATACGGTGCTCCAGCTGCGCAGCGATAAGACTGGAGGCTTATAACGCTGAAAACAGACTTTCGATACCCGCGGTGGGGACAGCACAGATAGCCAGCTCACTTTGTAGCTTAGCAACAGATAACAATGAAGTATGTGGGATATAAACCAGAAATAATCGAATGAGTTTTTTTCTAACTGATAATACAAATTATATAAATTTAATGAAGTTGATAATTTTTATAATGAGGTGTTGTCTCGGACTTATATTTTACTTTCAGCGTCTTCTAATATGTTAAGGCTTTTGAGCTTAAGTAAATCGAGCTCAAGTACATTAATATATATAAACATTTCTAAGCACATCTATAAATGCATAACAGTCACGTGCTATAACTCAGCACATCTATAAATGCATAACAGTCACATGCTATAACTCATACCTAGTTGTAGTAGATAGGACGGTTGAAATCACGGTTTTCTCTATAAATTTCTCTAAAAAGCACATGCTATAACTCATACCTAGTTGTAGTAGATAGGACGGTTGAATTCACGTTTTTCTCTATAAATTTCTCTAAAAAGCACATGCTATAACTCATACCTAGTTGTAGTAGATAGGACGGTTGAAATCACGGTTTTCTCTATAAATTTCAGATAGGCCTCTTTAAGGAGAAGTAAACTAAACATTTTTACAATCAGTTCATGTAACGCTATATGTATATAAATATGTAGCTGTTTCGCCATCTTAAAATCCTGCCTAGAACAGCAAAGTATCTGAAGTCAGGGCTGACAAGGAATATTACTAGTATCTTCATGATAAGGATGCATCAACAAAGCGATAAAATATTTTTATCTTTATTTCTGAACTGGGCTGGGCGTGGCCTAGTGGCTAACATGCCCGGATCTTGAATCTAAGGATTCACTATTGGAGATCCGTTGCTCCAGAAACGCGATACGCATCTTAGGGGAAATGGGTGCACTATAAGAGTTACGGTCAAGTTCCTCTAGTTTATCAGATAGGAGTAACACAAATGCAGACAATGGGGGTAGTTCACTAGCTGTGCCCCCCAGTGGCACAGCGGTATGTCTGCGGATATTTATGTCTTGCCTGATATTTATAAAAAAACAAAAACCATTAATTTTCTGTCTTTCTACCGTGGTATTCTCGAGGTACATTTTGTCAACAAGCAAGCAAGTTTAAACTCCACGTTCCCCAGTGGCACAGCGGTATGTTTGCGGACTTGCAACGCTAGCAACCGGGTTTCGATACCCGTGGTGGGCAGAGCACAGATAGCCTGGGTGTAACCCGTCCGTAATTTTGGACTGATAAACTAGAGAAAAGGCAGCTAATGATTTTTTGTTTGTTTGAAGTTAAGCACAAAGCTGCACAATAAATAGCCTATTGTGCAGCTTTGTGCTTAACTTCAAACAAACAAAAAATCATTAGCTGCCTTTTCTCTAGTTTATCAGTCCAAAATTACGGACGGGTTACACCCAAATAGCCTATTGTGCAGCATTACGCGAAGTTCTAAAACAAACACATTTTATGAGGTAATATTTCAGTTGAAGTAAATGTAATTTTTTATTCTACAATATGAGATTTATTACATATTCAAGTGGGTGTTATTTTTGGATTTATTATACACAGTTTTTTTTTGCTTCTTTTACAATTTTTATCGTGAGTTTATTAACAACATGAAAAATGTCACCGCTTTAGATAGTGTTAAGTAAAATTATTGTATATATTATGTAAATAATATACTACATTTCTGTCGTCGTGCTTACATAGTCAGTGTCGCGGGCTGTGGATTAGAAGCTCCAAGGTATATAACAGAAAGAGATACTAACGAAGCAAATCAGGTGCTGTTTCTAGCAAAACATTATCTAACCGATGAGTATTTCTAAACCAATATAAAAGCAGATTTGCTGTATTCACCCCAAGCTAGATTTTAATGACGAAGTGCTAAAAATCACATATATAGATATAAAATTGAAAAAATAAACACTTAATGACGTAAAAACAGCCCATTAAAATTTTAAAAAAATCTGAAAGTACATAACTCACTATACTGTGGGTTGAGCACACTTTATGAGAAAGATGTTCAAGATACCTTGCTGCTCTTGGAACCACTTTCGTTGTTGTCGATAGTACTCATTCTCGTGGACATAAGTAAGCACACTGGTTGGATTCGCCGCTTTCATTGTAACGCTTCTACGAATAGCGTTGATTTCCATTTTATATCACACGTAGTGAAAAACTTTACTCAAGAGGTCCACTGTACATGGGGTCAGTTTCTAAGACCATCTTTAATCTGACCAAAGAAATTTCATCAAGGAACGTGAAGGGGTTAGAATTTGAGGTGTAATTGGAAACTTGTGAGCTTTCTTAGCTTTAAATCCTTGGTTATTGTCTTACTAACTATAATATGGAATACATGAAGTTTCATCAGAATAACTTTTTTGGACAGAAATTTTATCTTTGGTAACCAACGCCTTCACTTCAGAGATGAGGGCGTTCTTTTCTCCAGATGAATTTGATGTGTGGTTTTGTAATCGTCGCCTTTACTTCAAGGCTGAGGGCGTTCCATGCTTCATATTGGCTTGAGATGTGGTTTGGGAGCCGTGGCCTTCACTTCAAGAAGGAGGACGTTCGTTGCTCCAGACTGACTTGATGTGCGGTTTTGGAGCTGTCGCCTTGGCTTCAAGAATGAGGACGTTTGTTATCCCAGACTGTCTTGGTGTGTGTGGTTTTATAGCCGTCGCTTTCACTTCAAGGAGGAGGACGTTCGTTGCTCCAGACTGACAAGGGGTATAGTTTTGTAGCCGTCGCCTTCATTTGAAGGATGAGGGCGTTCAATTATCCGGATTGACAAGGGGTATAGTTTTGTAGCCGTCGCCTTCATTTGAAGGATGAGGGCGTTCAATTCTCCGGATTGACAAGGGGTATGGTTTTGTAAGCCGTTGCCTTCACGTGAAGGATGAGGGCGTTCATTGCTCCGGGTTAACAAGGGGTATAGTTTTGTAGCCGTCGCCTTCACTTGAATGATGAGGGCGTTCATTGCTCCGGGTTAACAAGGGGTATAGTTTTGTAGCCGTCGCCTTCACTTGAATGATGAGGGCGTTCATTGCTCCGGGATGACAACGGGTATGGTTTTGTAGTCGTCGCCTTCACGTGAAGGATAAGGGCGTTCATTGCTCCGGGATGACAAGGGGTATGGTTTTGTAGCCGTCGCCTTCACGTGAAGGATGAGGGTCTTCATTGCTCCGGGTTAACTAGGGGTATAGTTTTGTAGCCGTCGCTCTTTTCAACTTTCTATTATATGAATTTTTTCTTCTCCATGGAGACCATTAAAGACTTTTTCTAAGCGTTGAGTCATTTGGCTCTACATCGCTTAACAATGTCCCTATACTAACATTCTTCCGCGGAAAAGCTGTAACAGATCCCTGAACTTGTTAGAAATTAGGCCTACATAAGTGCTCAGTATAATTTTTTATATCATTAGTAACAATCTTGTTACGAAACCAGTCTCGTTTACCTCGTGTTTTAATCTGTTAATCAACAGTGTTTTTTTTTTACACGTAATAACACGAGGTAAAGCCATTGGATAGTCATCCGGGTATTTTATATAGAATTCCTAAGTTACAAAAAAAAATAAAAGAGAGAGAGAAAATACTGCCCAGTTCAATCCGCAGTTCCTAACATAGATACATATAATCATGAATTAGTTGACATTTTGGTTTAATTTTTGAACATTGTGTATTTGTTTGAACGAATGAATACACAGCTAATAAAATGAGAAATGGAAATTTAATACGAATGTCTATTGTGCGAATACTTATGTGGTGATTAATCTAATATATCCAAACGAAGATGGAAAAATAAATACAAAGCATTTTTTGTTCTCAAAGTACCATGACTTTCCAAGAAAGAAACAAATTTTTATTCACTACAAGTTTTTTCTAATCAAACTGATGTAACTGCAATGGAATCAAGGTTAGCACTATCGTTTTACGATTCGTTCCATACGTCATGAATAACAGTGGTTCGAAAATTCTCTACTGAGCTTTAAAAAAACTTTAATACAACGGATGATATGTGATTCTCAACATGTAAGTCAATTTTTACAGGCCCCGGCATGGCCAGGTGGTTAGGGCGCTCGACTCGCAATTTGAGGGTCGCGGGTTCGAATCCCCGTCACACCAAACATGCTCGCCCTTTCAGCCGTGGGGGCGTTATAATGTGACGGCCAATCCCCACTATTCGTTGGTAAAAGAGTAGCCCAAGAGTTGGCGGTGGGTGGTGATGACTAGCTGCCTTCCCTCTAGTCTTACACTGCTAAATTAGGGACGGCTAGCGCAGATAGCCCTCGTGTAGCTTTGCGCAAATTCAAAACAATCAAAATTTACTGTGAAACGTCGAAAAGAACATGAAACTGCTTTAGCGATATAGGCCTTCAGATTTACCACTGAGC